GTGCCATGTCAAATTCCCAAACAAATCGATCCGGTGCTCGACCATCCTTCTTTACCCATGCAAATACCTAGATTGCGAACATTCTCCTTAATTCGTACTGGAGTCCGTTTTACTTTACCTAGCTAGTCTTTTTTGACACAATCTATTTTGCCCCTCCAGCCAATTTTTTTACACAAAGGATGCATTGTGGTAGTTTTTTTAATTTCTACAACTTGCGGGGAACTGGAGTTCCGAAAAAATTGAGCGTAGCAGGAAGTACCAATATTATTATCGGACCCAGTTAAACCACCTAGAAATAAATACGGATTTCCTTTAACATGACCTGATTCAGGGCAAGGCCAACATAATTAACTACGCTTAAGCTCTAGTAGCTGATTGTCAGTAACTGTTCCCTTCTGTGGCTGTGCGCTGTTTCGACGGTTCGTCTGTTCGACTGTACGGTGACCAACCGTTCCAGTTTTGCATAAAACATTGAAATGTGGTGTTTTAAACTTTGAACCAGGCTTCTATGGACCCTAACTATTATCCTGGGACTAGTACTTGTTAGTCCGTCTTTTTTAGAACGAACTGCCTTTTATAATTTACAGAATACAATGTTGGAAGGTTAGAAGTGCATACGTTGCTACATTCGTTAATCCTTTTCTTTGATAACGTCGTGGTGAAATAGAGCTTGTATATTTCCTGTGATTTCGTTAACATGGGTTGGGATATAATAAGAGAGGCGGTCTTTTTTACCACAGTGCAAAAACTGGAGCTCCGCCTTGTAATGCTATTTCTTTGAGGTCTCTTCTTATTTGATGTCAAACTTGCTACCTAGTTGTGCATACAGACGTGAGCTTACCCACCAATGTCAGATCAATAAGTTGCCCTTCAAAAAATTCCCTCAATGAAAGAAAAAGTGTTTTGTTTACGATGACTAGAGTGATAAAAGGACTAAGAAAACTATGTCTTTAGATTGCCCGTAATTGAAATTGAAATAGGTTACTTTTGGGCTTCTATCAGGGCGTGAAAAGAATCATTTACTATAAATCGGATGCCGCATATGATCGATATTCTAGAGACGCTCAGTTACACCGGCCTTTAAGGTATCTGAATACCAAACGAGAGTTTAGCATTGCAGCAATTTGCTTATATTTCTCTCAACTCACTAGAGGCCTTTTAACAAGTTTTGTGTTAGAACAGGCTCTTTTTTGACACCTACAAATGCCTCCTAGTTGCTCGTAAATGTAATTCATCCAAGCGAAAATTGTCTTAGGTACGTTATGTGAATGGAATAGAAAAAAACAAGAAATGTTAGTCTGCATTAACCCATACAAGTAAATCAGCTCACCTTATCGGCCCCATCTCTCGTCCGCTTTTAAACAGCCGAATCTAGAGACTTAAGTATGCCTCAGCAAATCCAGTATCTTCTAAGTAGCAGAAAAGAACTATTCATAATTTTAATCACGACCAACCATTTAATCCTTGATTATTTAAAACCACCGGTAATCAATGTGCAATGCCTGAAACAGACAAGTTCGTGGTGTTGTGATAAACAAAACTTTTGTCTGGTAAACTGACATACTACTGAATGATTTTGCTAAGTTTCTTGTTGAGCCGATTTTTAGACAGAATTTTTTACGGGTCTCAGTAGGCGTTGGTCAACGTGCTTCTTAGCTATAACTGTGGTAATTAATTGAGAAACCTATTTCGTCCGCCATCTGCGATGACTAGGTATGTTAACCTTCTTGTACCGACGTCTCTCCTCAAGCGTCCTATTGTCTCAAAATGATTTTGTCAAAATTTAGACGAGCCT